ATAATAAAATAACGTGTTAAATGGGTGGAAATCCCTAGATCAATGTTTAAATTAACACTCACGCGTTGACTCTGTCGGCTTTGTTTTGCCATGCATGCTCCCTTTCTTTTGCAGCTGAGGCTGCGTTACTTTTTTTCCGCAAAATACATTGACCGCGCCTTCTTTCCCTCCGTCTCCATGGTGACTCGCTTAATCTGTGCTCCACTAATCAGGGCTTTATGTATCCTCGTGCGCGCGCTTAACTTGGGGTTAAAGCAACTCCGCGTTGACTGAACTAATTGTTATCAGCCTTTCTGGAACCGAATATTCCGAGTTGGACAGTTCGGGGTTACTCAACCCTGAGTATCGTTTTTCACTCTGAGTTTTCTAAACCGGCTTCCTGAAATAGGGCCCTGCTCAAACTTAAGCTCTCCTTAGTATGGCTGGCTCCGTTTCTCCAACAGCGCACTCACAGGAGGCAGCTGCCCCGCCCCCTCGCTCAGTCGCTTAGTGCCTGAGCTCGGATCATACCAATATCAGGGGGGATTCACGCACAGTTGTAAATTCCCACAGTGTGCAGTATGTGCTTCGAATATTGTGTGTACTTTTTGTTTCATACAGTTGTCAGCCAGGCATCTAACTATGAAAAAATTACACTCCAAAAGACCCCGGGCTTCTGACAAAACAACCCGGGCTTAAGCCCAGTAAGCCACCCCCACGCTCCGCCGCTGGTTACTGATTACTTCTCCAAAAAAGTAATCCTGTTACTTTACTGATTAGTTATTTTCAAAAGTAATTAGTTACTTCGTTACTTTTTAAAACATGATACACAACCTGGATACATAATAAAGAAATAGACCTTTCAGCCCAATTCTATTTTTTCTGCATAATCCATCATAAAACTGAATCAAATGGAAAAAGTCTGTTTTTAAAACTTGTTTCATTATTTTTAATCTTTTAACTTTATGCAAAAATTAAATCATATGCAACAGTCTTTGACTTAAAGAAATTGTTGAACATTTAAACCAATTTTCTGCATATTCTAGCATATTTAAAAAATATATTTTTTGTGTTCACACTCTTTCAAACAGATGCACGTAAAACACAGCAGAAAATAAAATAAATCAAAGATTCAGCAGCTCTGAGTCCTGTCGCTCTTAAATCTGTTGTCACCTGTTTAGCAGGAGTGGGGCGGGTGGAGGTTTGCCCACAGCGGTCATGTCAGTGGGGGGATCCGGGGGTTTCTCTGTGAATGTCACATTCCCGTGGCAGCGTGCTCGCTGCTCGCTCAGATTTGAAGTCTAATTTTTCACTTTAGAGAGAAGTTTTCCTCCCACACAGAGTGCACAGCGGACGCTAATGTTTTTGTCACTTTTACAGAATCAAAGTAATGTGAGTATTTCCAAGCTTTAAACGCTTCACGGTTGTACTCTCTCCCACACTCCATATCTGCACACGTCTGTTACCACAGACGTCGCACGTGCTTACGTCACAGTCATGACTCATGAGACACTCTCACAAACAAAATCACCGTTTAGTAACGCAGCGTGCTTACGGGAAAGTAACAGTAATCTAATTACCTTGAGTAAGTAATCCCTTACTTTACCCGTTACTTGACAAAAGTAATCGGATTACAGTAACACGTTACTTGTATTAGAGCTGTAAGCTGTAAGAACAAAAAACTTTGTGCCTTGAACCTCCAAGGACACCGGGACTCGAGCAGGTGTGAAGATCAAAAGGTTGCATTTTGGAGCATTAAGTAAGACCTGAATGTAAACGGTCACGTCTTGGACTGCTTCTCCAGTCGAATGCTGCTGTTTTGTCTGAGCTACCGCTGTCTCACTGATGCACACATTGTGTTCTTTGTACAGGTTATAGCAATAGTGAGATGGGTCACTCATAGCTCGCTGATATATAAGCACTTGCAGTGAGTCCCTTGGCATTATTGGTATAAACCCACTGCCATTTTTCCAGTGTGGTATAGCAGCATGTTTTAACCCAAACATGCTGTGGCAATCTGTTTCTAAACCCAACCAAATAGTTTCAGAGCTTGAACCTGAGCAGCGAATCCAGTGACGTAAGCAAAACAGATCACTGAGCAAAAACACAAAGTTAGCAACTGGGACACAAACCAGACTCCTTGCTGATAATCTTTTGACTTACTCGACTGGTAATCAACATGTTTCCTGACACGGCCTTTGCCCTGTTATCTCTTCATACACCTCCATTTTTACAACCAGAGGATAAAAGCATCAACATAAAGGACAGCTTAAAATGCCGACACAACCTACAGAACATCAGTGTTTGAGAGCCGAGGTAGAGAATCCACTGGCCCTGTTGCTTCAGGACATACAGCACTGATGAAAGCAATTTAAAGCACAGTGTTGCCACTATTCAAGACTTACTGTCAAAAAACCCAAACTTAACAATTTGCTTAGATGTTATTAAGATGCATAACTGCATCAGTTACTAATGGTCAGTCCAGTTATTCGTGCTGCTGCTGCAGCGGACACTCCTGGTCTGGCTTGCACCACAGTAATAGCAGCATTGCTACATGGTGGAGCAGACCAGATTTATATTGAAAATAAACACCACACCAGAGCGTTTGCTTGCTCTCTCTCTCCCTGGTCCTGTTGGTTGTGCTGCCACATACATCATAATTTTGTAAATCACTGAGCTAAACATGGAAGCTACTCAAATTCAGTTTATTAGTTAGCTTTTTTGTTTTTTAATATATATATATTACAATTGCTTGCTCCCACTCCAGTCCAAAATGAGTCTTTCTTCATGAGCAGAATCTTCTACTTCTGCCACTGGTGTTCATATACAGAGGGAAGGTCTCGCTGTCTAATCAGCCTAAAAATTCATACAGTTCATAGAAAGTTAACGCCTCCAGGTCACAAACACAAACTGAGAATGATTTCAGTGAAGTGATAGAAATCTCATGTCCAACATATTTCCATATTTATAGAGTTTAGCTTTTTGAGTGAGGGACAATGATAAGAAAGCAATGTTACACAGCTGGTGTTATTCTAAACAGATTATTCTGCATTCATCTCAAATTGTTGGTGAAAATACTTTTTGCTTGCTGGTTTGCACTGTGGCACTAAATCAGACAGTCAATGAGCAGCCTTAGTCTTTAATACTATGAAGGAAAGAAACAGTAAAAATATATGATTTTTATGAATATATTCTTTAAAAAAGAATATATTACTGACTGGGTCATAATTGTTTTCAAAGTCCAGACCAGTGATACCCAGAAGCAGTTCAGCACTACAGCCCACCACTGAAAACTTAAGAAGCAAAGTAAAAGCTGCTTTTGTTTCCTCACCTGTTGTTGCTTCTGCTGGTACAGACATCTCCCAGACGCTCATGACAAGCACCATTAGAAGTAGAGCTCCTTTGCTTCCAATCTGCGGGTATGGCTCACTCATCCTTGATAAAGAGGCGAGAGGAGAGGAGTGTTACCACAAATAACTCATTTATGATAGCTGCAGTTTGAAGCAATTTGAGGTGAAACCAGAAACACTATTTATAGCTATACAGAGATAAAGTTTACATCTAAATGATTCAGAGAAAGCTTGGGAGAAGGTGCTGTGACCAAACGAAACCAAAATCCAGCTCTTTCAAAATCATGAGTATGACCCAAGCAACACCATCCCCACGGTGAAACAAGGAGGTGGCAACATTATGCTGTGGTGTTCCTGCTAAGGACCAAGTAACGATTCCACTGCAATGAGGGGAAGATCGACCAGACCTCAGTCCTGCAGAAAATCTGTGGAGGGAGCTGAAGCTGCCAAGTTTCAGCCTAGAAATCAAAAGGATTTAGAGAGTTTCTGTAAAGAGGAGTGGTTCAAAGAGATGTGAGCAAACCAAATAAAAGAAGCACCTACCCACCAAGTGGTCATGTTTTACACAGGGTTCAAATGACATACAAATCAATGTAGGACTTTCTGGAGTTTTGACTGATATTCTGCTGAAACCTCCATCAAAATTAGAGGCCCTACATTTCTTTGTAAGTGAGCAGATTAATAAATTCAGCAGGAAATTAAATAATTATTTCCCCCAAGGATGAAAGATGGCTAGATAGACATCATTAACCCACATTAAGCCCCCGGTTTATTTGCATTTACCAAACAAAAGCATCTATTATCATCTGTGTCAGCCTCTCCTCCTTCCTTTTTTTTCATCCCTTCGCTCGCCTGAATGCATGTTTGCTCGTATAAAGCAGGGATAGAGGCTCTTATCCTCCTCCTTGCTTCTCAAAACAAACTACAGCTGTGAATGCACCCCCAGATCACTATCTCCAAATTCTCTCTTTCTTCCCCTGCGGCTCCCCTCGTGCTCAACCGAACATGAGGTGAAGGCTCTCTGCTGCCCCAACAGGCTTCAGCAAGCCTCTGTAGGCTCTACAGCAGAGCGGAGAGCGGGCAGGTCGCAGTGGCTATTCCATCCCTCCGCAGTGCCTTTTTCTCTGCACTCCCTCTCCCTAATGAAGTGTGGTGGAGCCAAGGCCACACTGCATAAACCGTCTGGCACAGTGTGTTATCACCGACAGACAATGATCAAATTTCAAACGGGGGATGCGGGAGTGGTTCGGTAATTACTGGAAGGGGCATAGTATCGTATGGCGGGAGGGGACAAAGTTACAAGCTGCGTTTATGCCTTATTTACCACCTCCCGCCTCTTATCTGGCTGCCGCATTGACATATAGATTGGCTAAACCTCATTGGGGATCTCAGATTATTTGTGTAATTAAGTTTATTTTTGCAAAGCAAACATGACCTTTTAGCAAGGTTTTGTTAGAGCGCTCAGTGTCACACAGGAATTAGTATTGAGTTGTGTTGCTCCAGCAATAAAGAACAGGCAGAACTCACATGTTTAATGTGCCCTTTAAAGATATAAATAGCTGCCTGTTATCTGGACATGTAGGCGATAGCAGTGTATGGAAGGGGAAGTCTTAAATAATCGCTGAAGATTTATTTATTTATTAATTTTGACATGGCTTCATTTAATGAAATTTGACTTAAAGGTCATGAATAATTTCTACATCACATTTTCCCTGCTTTAAAAAAAAAGCTAAATATTTTTGGGAAATACTAATTGCTACCCAAAGCCATCACAGTGACAGCGAGACTACAGGAGGTCACCGAGAGCGAAGAAGTTATTTGAAGTGCCGCGGCTTGATTATGTCATTCCTTTCAGGTTTTTATAGGGATTAAACAAGATGCATCATGTTAATTTGTGAATTTCAGATGGTAAGTACCATCCAACTCTCGACAAAGGAAAGAGGCAGGAAAGAGCAAAGATGGGGGAATAATTCCAGTAATCTTAAAATAACCCAGATAACTCAATCTGAAAGACTCAAAGCAACGAGCGCACACATAGCTGAGATGTGACAGAGCAAAGAGACAAGCAGTTGCATGCAGTGGACGCAATAAAGCATGGGTCTTTGACTTTTGATTCCCAAGTCCTCAAACTAACGAACAAAGCGGTCACTTGTTCCTACAATCTGATACAACCGACGTTAGTGAGATACAGGCACGAGTACTCGAAAAAAATGATATGTGGCATTTAATGAGATAGTAGAAGTGTAGAAGGCTAATCGCTCAGCTACAGGGCTCATTCATATTCTTCAAAGGGATTCTGATCATGAACCATAAAGTTGTAACCACTAAAAGTAGCTGTGACACTGTGAAACGATGGTATGAGCTCCTGTAGAAACCATAAGTCTGTGTGATGTCAACCTTACTTTAACAAACACGTGTTTCACTCACAGTGTCACAGAAAAGAATGACTCTACCCACAGTCCTAACATAAGGCAGCAAAGTGTCTGATTGAAAGAAAGAAGGTGTACTTTATTGATCCCCGTGGGGAAATTCCTCTCTGCATTTAACCCATTCACTGAGTGAAGCAGTGGGCAGCCATTGGGTGCCCGGGGAGCAGTGTGTAGGGACGGTACCTTGCTCAGGGGTGCCTCAGGGTAGCTGTTCAGGGGAATCGAGCCCCTGACCTTCCGATCATGGGGCCACCACTCTACCTACTGAGCTATCCCTGCCCCGGTTGGTGGAAGTTGCTGTCGCCATGGAAATGTCAGGTTTCTTAGTCAGTGCTAAACTTTAGAAACCGCTTGAGCAGGCACAAACACTACACACAAACTACCATTATACATTATTATATATGTATAATCTAATGCAGCGGTCTCCAACCTTTTTTGCGCCACGGACCGGTTTGTGCCCGACAATATTTTCACGGACCGGCCTTTAAGGTGTCGCGGATAAATACAACAAAATAAAACTAGTACTAGTACCGAAAAAAAGAAGATTTATTCATAACACACGTGAAAAGACCCAGGAAAACCGAGTTAACGATAAAAACGATGACAAAATAACGCTGAAAACCAATAAAAACCCTGAAAACCATGTATTTCACACCTGAGCCTCAACTCTCGCGGCCTGGTACCAAACGACTCACGGACCGGTACCGGTCCGAGGCCCGGGGGTTGGGGACCGCTGATCTAATGTATACGTTTCCAATATACTGCTGTTAACAACATAAATGTTAAGATAAGCTAATTACAAAACGTTCCAAAGGTCACTTGCTGTAGATTCTGGAATTTTCAGCAGTTTATTATTATGAGTAGTTCCTCTAATTTTAGGAGTAATTATGTATGCATTGTTGTACCTCTGACTTTATTTTCTGATCTAAATCCAGGCTTTGAATCAGTATTTGGCTCATAAACCACCTTGTAGCTAATCCCTATATTCTTTATTTAAGAATATAGGGATTTTCTGAAATGTCAATAGAGAAAATGAATGAGAAAGTCATTTGAGAAGCACAGGCCTTAATAAAATGGCTTGTGCCCTTTGGCAGGGGTGCACATAAGTGGTCCACAGGTGCGCATTCGCTGTCAAAATAAAAGACGCGCACCAGATAAGAAGTTGCAACATTTGCGTACATAAGATTTTCTGGAGGAGGACAGACATTTGTTTAGAACTCTTAAAGATGTCGAAGAAGCTCCTTTAAGCAATTACTTTGGTGTTCCTCCACCTCCAAAGAAATGTCAGGAGTCCGAACCGCAAAAGAAGCACGTATTCTCGGAAAAGGGGTTGCAGGAGGTGAGCTGGCTTCAAACAAATGATGAACGCACAGAGATGTGGTGCAGGATATGCTGTGAAAATCCCACTCTAGAGGACAAAAACAGTGCTTTTTATATGGACGCAAACGCGCGTTGCAACTTCTTATCTGGTCTTTTATTTTGACAGCGAATGCGCACCTGCGGACCACTTATGTGCACCCCTGCCTATAGGGTAGCTGTAACAGAAGACAACAGAAAAGGTAAAGAAACGCAAAATTTGTGCAAATATTCTGCGCACTAAAAATATTTCACAGACAAATTTTGTGTATATATACATTACATAAAAGGTCTGCATCCAAAAATTTGGCATTTCATGTCATTTTTTTCTCAGCACTTTCAGGGTGTAGGGGCCTTTAGAAGCACATCATGGTGTGGATTCCAACACATCCACTAGAAACTTCTAGCTTATCCAGGTGCAGAGCTTCCTTCCCATCTAACATAACTATAGGTCCAAATAGCAGCTTGTGCAAACAACCCCTGGTATCATTTTATGAGGAGAGTGGTCTATCTGTGTGATAAAGTGTGTTTTTTGGATTGTCATTTCCCATCTTGCCTTGCTTCAATTAGATCTCCTTTGTTTCCCAGGACACTTGCTGTGCATGCCAGAAATATCGGAGGTCATTAAGCTACTTATCCACAAGAGGAGGGATAATGCAGCACAAACACTAAATGGACCCAAGGTAATCCTTTATTTTCATAATATATTTTTTTTCCATCCCTATTAAAGCCACGATTGCCAGTATCATGGCATTTAACAGTGTTTTCAGTGTAGCTACAGAGCGATTGTGAGGAAGGAAATTCACTGAAATGTTGAGCGTGATATCCAGGTAATGCACCAGTGTCTGCATTTTCTCAAATGGACCTCGATTGTACGCACAGATACTTATACTGGAACAGTGTGTGCTTACGTTCACCTCCCAGAGACAGATTTATGGTCACCGGTTAGCCGGAGAATTGGAGGCTGGGTTGAAATGGTGGCCAGTTGGTGTCGGTGTGCAATTCATAGTAATAAGTGTGTGGGGGGGGAAAAAGGGTCATTGGTGCCGCAGAGCAGGGCAGCGTTACAGCATCATTTGTTGGATGCTGTCGAAAGGTGCAATTCCATAAATGACATCTCATTGCACCTGAATGTGCTGCGTTGTCACTGGTGCTCGGCAGAGCGAGTCCCTGGAGATTTGTTACGCTTTGAAGCCAGTTTACGTCTTGACCTTGGCTTGAAGGTCTTTTGCATTTCTGCAACAATATCCTTATATTTAATATAAATAGACATTGTGATCCTGGCTGCATTATTGAAAGA